GGCAACATTCGGCATAGAAGATTTTCGAGTATATGACAATATATATACATGTAATTAGACAATGAAATCTTGTAAAGGGAAAAGTTCGAGATGATCGCGTTCCAAATATGGCTCATAGTAGGATTTGGACATTTGCTTTAGTATGAATCTTTAATTTCTACAAAACATTTTTAGACAATTATAGACGGACACCTGTCTACATATTTGTACAAAAAGACAAATGAGTATCCATTAACATGCTTTAACAATGAAACGTCAAAGTAAACCACTGAATTGATAAAACCAACGTGGTGTAATGGTATCACTTAACAGCTAAGTTACGATTGGCCACAGGCACACAATGTGGTCACCAATGTAAATCGAAGAACTTGTTTCGCAATCTGTGGCTATATTATTGAAAAAGAAAGTCATTCAATGAGTACAAACGATCGTGCATATCGCACGTAACCTTATCTATAGCCTGCTTGTTGTAGCACGCTTTTGTATCGGGTACTCCCGTACCATGCGTACCAGGTTAGAGTTAGACCATCATTTTATTCCGATTTTCCTTAGTCTAGTTTTATTACGAGTCCGGGAACTGTCTGTATCAGCCAAGTGAATATACCCCCTGTCCACAGGCTTTCGTCCCTTTACAAAACTTGATGTAAAGTAGGCGAACAAAATTAATTACCTCCATATGGGTACACATACTTCTGGATCGTCCAAAAATTGTCCTTCCTTTATCAACGGAAAATCATGTCAAGTTGCAAGAAAAACACACAAATACTAGTTATACCGAAGTTAGCAGAAAGTGCTTCAATCGTCCCATTCCACTGTTCTCCGCTAGGCGGCTCAAGTGGGTTACTTAAATACGATCATCTCAATACTTGAAGATATCTAAAACAATTTAGATTCTTTATGTAGTATAAATTTTTAGATATATTAGTTACCTATGTTATTACCGTTTGAGAAACACTTGAATAGTCAATCTTGCATGTGCGCCTCTTGGGGTGGAAGAGATGATAAACAGTGTTTGACCACAGCGGTATTTAAAACCAATTATACACGGAGACTCGTCTACATATCTGTACAAAAAAGACTATTGTGTACTCACTAACATGCTTTAACAATGAAACGTCAAAGTAAACCACAGAATTGATAAAACTAACGTGGTGTAATGATATAACTTTACAGCGAAGTTACAATGGCGCAAGTTTTGATGTAATGGTATCTTTTTATTGCGAAGTTGGGACGGCCCACAGGCACACAGTGCGGTTACCAATGTCATTGAATAACTCTTTTCGCAATCGGTGGCATTGAAATTAAAAAAGAAAGTTATTCAACAAGTACAAACGATCGTGCATATCGCACGTAACATTATCTATAGCCTGCTTGTTGTAGCACACTTCTGTATCGGCGTAAACACGTCACCAATTACGTCACGCGATGACAAAGCAAAATCATTCTTTATAATCGACTTCAGTATTCACTGAGGTGTTAAACGGCTGGGCGCATATAAGGGTGGAAGTGAGTTGGTTTCGCTCTAATTAGATTCTAGTTCAGTTAAAATAATTAACTTTGTATTCTCATTGTGTTTGGTGATGTCAGGTATGAAATATCAAAGAACAATGAATGTCGCGACTTCATATCCTGTTAATTGGGTTGTTGTTGTTGTTGTTGTTATATGTTTTATGGCGCTTATAACTTCAGTTTTCTTTTGCGCCATTGATCAATTCAAATTTAAAAATACTAAACTAACATAAAATACAATATTTACGAATATATAATTATACAATTGAATCAATTACAATAAGTAATTATTTCTAAACATTTCTGCCCGTAGACAAAATTTGGTTAAATGTTCAAATAAATTGTGCACTTTATTCTGAGCCCATAAAAGCATTTCTTTTAACTAAGTTTTAACGATTTTATATAATCATCAAAAATATTGGGGTTATTTCATGATTATTTTTTATCTGCTCAACTTCAAAGAATCCTCACTGAGCTCAGAACTTCGGCGAGTGAAATAATTGAAAGGAGTTGGAAAAATTGGGCGGTAGTTCTAAAACAATTCAGTTTTTTTGCAACTTAGAGAGGCAACAGTCGGAGTATTCATATCTACAATTAGGCAATGAAATCTTGTAAAGAGAGAAGTAAGAGATGATCGCGTTCCAAATATGATTTATAGTACGATTTGTACATTTGTTTTGGTCTGAATCTTTAATTTCTACAAAATATTTTTTAACAAAATATAGACGGACACTCGTCTACATATTTGTACAAAAAAGACAAATGAGTATCCATTAACATGCTTTAACAATGAAACGTCAAATTAAACCACTGAATTGATAAAACTAACGTGGTGTATGTATTCACTAGTAGTATGATGTTGCGGCAATCTACAATAAAATTGTGCCTTTTATATATAAAGACTGCGGTGCGATTTGATTGTTGTTCAAGTGTAAAGTAAATTTAAATTTTGCATTCTTGTCATATCCGGAGTAAAATAAGCAACCGTATACAAAGGCATTTAAAAATTGCTTAGAATTATCAAATTAAATTTGGATTATTTTTCATGAAGATCGCAAAGATTTTGTCAGTTTTGATGCTAAGTCCGGGTTGCTTTCGATTTTTCCCGAGCATTGACTTCCATGTTTACTTCGTAACATTGGTCAATCAGTGAGAGGCAAAAAGGTACGTAACAATAGAGTTTTGCTCATCTGCTCAGACACTTAAATTATATTTAGTAGTTTTCAGTTGTGCTTCGGAAATTCAAGTATGAAGCAAATATTTCAATGATCATTTTATCTTCTTAGGAGTTTCAGTTTAACTGCAATATTCAAAAATTAGTGTAGAAATAGATGTAACAGACTATAGGCTAAAATTCTTTATCGGTACTTTCAAAAAACAGGTTGTTCAATGTTTTGAATCAAAATGATGGTTTAAGACATATATCTCAGGTTACAGGCGCCTGCTTGCGAAACCACTCTTAAAATAAGCCCCAATTATTTTTTTGCAATGTTTTGAACTTGAACGAAGCTGAGAAATATTATATTTTTCACTATTTCGGACCTTTTTTTTATCGTAAACGCGTTTGTTTCAAAGATTCAAAGAGTGAAATGATAATTTTATTAATCAGTAATTGCGACAAAGGACTCTCGCGTAGAACGAGAGAGGTCACAGAACAGCTACAAATATTTTTTATTTATTTTGAAGAAGTTACCACACAAAAACGAATCACATAGATTAGGAAGTTTTGAAATAAATGAAAGTAAGAGCCTTCTAGCAAAAAATAACAATCTTCAAAACCACAAGCGGTCCGCGTGCCGTAAATTGTGCAGGACTGGTCAGGCCACATTACCTTTTGAAGCGTTAAAGCGTTAGAATTAACCATGATTGCCATCTGATTATCCCACTCGATCTTGATAACCAAAGGATTTTGGGCCTGGTCATCATACAGTGGATTGCGTGATTACCACATGCATACATATGAAGTCAATGACTGATTTGTTTCACACATTGAACATGGATCGGTAAAGAAAAGCATCGATACATTGATTTTAACTTAAAAAAAAGAGTAGCTCGCTTGTAATGAAATAATATACAAAAATATTCAACAGCAGAAGATTAAAATTCAGCAATCATGATTTTTAGTAGATATTTATAAACTGCACAGTATTTATTTTGGAGGATTGGGGCTACATTTTGGAGATGGCAATAATTTACAGCTTTAGTTGTGCCAATTACATTTTTCAATTCGATTGACTTTGTACGCAAGGGTGAATTTGATTCTGTAATGTATGTTAAAAGTGTGGTTTTCTATAAGACCGACTAAGAATAAATGAAATTCAATCAAATAAAAATCGAATAAATGCAAAATTGTTCTTCCTTTGTCAACGGAAATCGTGTCAAGTTGCTAGAAAAACACACGAATTCTAACTACTAAGATAGCAGAAAGTGCTTAAATCGTCCAATTCCACTGTTCTCCGCTAGGCGCCTCATGCGGGTTACTTAAATATGGTCTTTTCAATACTTGAGGATATCTAAAACAATTTAGATTCTTTATGTAAGATAAATTTTTAGATATGCATTAGTTATTTATGTGATTAGCGTTTAAAAACACTTAAATAGTCAATCCGGCATGAGCGCCTTTTGGGGTGGAAAAGATAATGGACCGTGTTTGACCATAGTGAGCATTTATATTAAATTAACCGTATTTTACACACACGCGCTTTGGACCTGAATAGGTTGGATGCTGTATGGGATTATTTACCTCATCCAAATACTACAGTTACTTACATTCGTTTATCTTGTCACGAAAAATTTATTTTTATCTACTCAACTTCAAAAAATCCTGAACTTCGTTGCGTGAGATGATTGATATAGAAGGATTGATATAGAAGGATAATTGCCGATAGTTTTCAAACAATCATTTTTTTGCAACTAGGAAAGGCAACATTTGGCATAGAAGATTTTCGAGTATCTATATCTAGTGATTAGACAATGAAATCTTGTAAAGGAAAAAGTTCGAGATGATCGCGTTCCAAATATAGCTAATAGTAGGATTTGGACATTTGTTTTAGTATGAATCTTTAATTTCTACAAAACATTTTTTAGACAATTATAGAAGGACACCTGTCTACCTATTTGTTCAAAAAGACAAATGAGTATCCATTAACATGCTTTAACAATAAAACGTCAAAGTAAATCATTGAATTGATAAAACTAACGTGGTGTAATGGTATCACTTTTCAGCGAAGTTACGATGGCACACAGGCACGCGATGTGGTTACCAATGTCATCGAAAAAATTATTTCGCAATTTGTGGCAATAGTAATAAAAAAGAAAATTATTCAATAAGTACAAACGATCGTGCATATCGCACGTAGCCTTTTCTATTTTCTAATTGTTGTAGCACGCTTCTGTATCGGCGTAATCACCTCACTAATTACCTCGCACGACGAGAAAGCTAAATCATTTTTATAATCGACTTCAGTTTTAACTGAGGTGTTAAACGGCTGGTCGCATATAAAGGTGGAGGTGAGTTGCTTTTGCTCTAATTGGGTTCTAGGTCAGTTTAAATGTTGCAATAAATATATGTTGTATTCCCATTGTGTTTGGTAAGAAATAAGGTATGAAATAACAACAAACGTTTATCGATGACGCGACTTCCTGTTAATTGAGCTAAATGTTTAAATAAATTGTGCACCTCATTATTAATTTTTTGAGCCCATGAATACATTTCTTTCAATTAACTTTCAAAGATTTTATATACTCATTAAAAAAATTGGGGTTATTTCGTGATTATTATTTATACACGTGACAGTTTAGTTTTGGAAAGTATGTACATGACTATCAGTAATGACTGAGATAATAATTAATAATCCCATAAATTTAAACAATTTTATGTGGTATAACTATGTTCAGCACATTTTCGCCATGAAAATATTATATTCATCATTTTTATTTACGTTGAATTCAAACAAAATTTTCTAAATTACTACATGACCACACACTGATCAAGATAACAGGATAGAGATTTCATTTGCCATCGTGCTGGAGTGAGTGCGGTACCGCAAACCATCGCCTGTTCAATAGCGAGTGCCAATTCGTCAGTAAATATATTTTATTTTTGCTCCTTGTTTGACTTAGAACATTCCATGACGTCGAATGTTTCGGTGTAAGTACATAATATCATATTGATAATCTTACCTAATAATATGACAATATTTGGGGAAATTTTTTACTTTTCTCTAAAGTACTGGTTGGTATTTCGTAGAATTTTGGCCGAGGATACTTTTTGTTTATGATGTGTGTATGATCATAATGATACGATTATGTGTGTCGTGACAAGCGTACGAGATGCAGTGTGTACATGTAGACACTAGTAGAATGATGTTGAGGCAATCTACAATAAAATTGTGCCCTTTATATACAGTATAAAGACTGCAGTACGATTTGATTGTTGTTCAAGTTCAAAAGTAGATTTGGATTTTGCATCATTGTCAGATCCGGAATAAAAATGCAACCGTATACAAAGGCATTTGAAAATTGCTCAGAATTATCAAATTAATTTTGAATTGTTTTCTATATAAAGACCACAAAGATTTTGTCAGATTTAAGTCCTGGCTGCTATAATTGTGGGGAGACAACAGATTTCATCGGTAAAACTAAACAATATTTAAGAGATATCACTAATCTTGATGACACTCTCATCGACTCAGATCTAATCCGCTTTAATTTTCAGCGTTTGATGATACTGCGGCTTTCTAGCACATCAGTCGGATTGTATGCCCAATTACCTGTAAGTAAATGGATAAGTTTATAAAAAAAAAATCATTTACGATACCTATTTTAACATAAAAACTTTAAAATTGTGATCCATCGTATTCATAAGACTAACGTTGATCCAATGAAGCCGCGATAATCCAGAAAATCAGAGGTGAGGTAAAAATACCAGCGAGACGCGATTGATCGACAACAAATAATTGCATCTGTTTTGTGTTGAACAATATTTATCACCGTGATTGATATGGTAGCAACGAATGGATGAGTTTCCCGATTGTTATCTGCACAACTTTTATGCATTCCTTCATTTTTTTACATTGGGAAACGTTAATAAACATTACAAAGTAGTGATGCAGATTTTGTAATCAACACAATACGAACTTTTATACAGTGCACGAGCTTATATTTAGACATAGACGCATTTTTATGAATTTTATTCATGACTTTGGAGCCATAATATGAATATCATAGAATGACGTAGAATAAACAATGAACATGACAGTCGATCCGTGCGTTTGGCATATGCATATGTTCATGAAATTAAGCAACAGAAATTATAGATTGCGTGAGGATAATCCTGTGGAATACTTTAAACCGAGCTCATCGACCAGGTAATAAAATCTCAACAGTCACTTGCGGCTAAAATTTATTTTAACGAGCAAGTTAAACGCAGAAAAAAACCGATCTCGAGGGATATAATCTAATCGGCGGCCAAGTTGGGTCGATATTCTACCTACATCAATCTCAGCCTGTCGAACACCGGCGAAAATTTATAAACCATTGTCAAGAATATAATATATTACTGCCAAGCCGTCAAACATGACTCACGGCTGATGCAAGATTTTAGAAACAATTTCAGCTGCGACCATGTTTGATTTGGTAATGCCAATTGTTAAGATCGTTACGTCTTAGAGAATTTATGTGTTGGACAAGCGATGTTTGTTCTGGACAAATAAGAAAACAAATGGAGATCTTAAGTGAGAGAAATATGACAGAACACTTGATGAGTACGATTTGGTTGAGATTAGGTGTGCCTTCAGTGGTGATGGTTTGTGTATATACAGATGAATAGATACAGCAAGTTTGCACATAACTTTTTGCGGGTATAAACAAACTAAACGAATATGTAGGTCTAATAATTTCAATATAGTATAAGGTCAAGTGGTAGTCTCATTTTTGAATGTGATATTATGTGATGAACTGAATTAGATATGTTTCGTTGCCAATCCAAAATCTGCTTCATTGCATCAATATGAGGTAATAAAAAAGAAAAGTTATATTATCTGCAAGTTGGGTCAGTTCAATTTTGAGAGATTTATGATTTATATATTCTATGAATGTTGCGATAGGCGTATATTATACAAAAATATTTTGAGAACGTGTTGTGGCTTAAGTGTCGAAATTGTTAAAGTTTTCCTGGTATATTCCCACATTTAAATTGCGTTTCGATAAATCAACAAACAAAACTGGAACAAAGGATATAAAGCCTGCGGGATAGTCAGGTATATTTGCTGTATTTTTTTTTATAATGATGGATATAAATATGAAGATAATGTTGTGACTTAATTGACTCAACAGGTTTTTATTTCATTGTGATTTTTTCTTCAATTAAGAAATGTAATATACTATATCGCATACCCATGCGGACACCTCTGCTAGACGTCTCTCGTGAAGAAGAGGCATGTCGTGCAGCGTATGATACCAATACTTTATGTTACAGTGCCGAAGATGCACTATATACGCACAGTAGGCTACTCGTTCAAGTGTTTGTATAAGCTTTCATAAGCTTTCTCAGTTTATTAGGTTATAGAAACAAAATGAATGTTTTAGTCGCTAAGTTGATGTACCCATTGTATTGGAATTGATAACCAATAGTCAATACGTGGTGTAAAACATAACCCAAAAAATGGCATGTTGTGCGCGCATCGGCGCTGTGTTGAATTCCACGTTCAAAATGCATAGATACTAAACCACATTAATGTATACGCGAGGTCCTGTTTATTTAGATTATAAAAATAGAGAAAAGTGAGAGTAAAAATTTTATTAGGTGCAAAGATAAATACGCATTGTTATAAGCTTACTGGCTCACATAAATAAATGTACAATTTACGTGGAACCCATCTGGAAATCCGATCAGTTAAATAGTACTCATACGCAAAAATCAGAATTTCGAGTTGCAATCAAATTAAGGTATCTTAATTAAAACTTACTTTAATGTGTTTAGTCACTGTATATTATTCTTGTGAAAAATGTAAGCCATGACTCTTAATCATTGAAAAAACTTTCGTATATTTTATTAAGGATAATAGCTAGTCAATATGATAGAACAGATGAATAGATACGTCGGGATTGAGTCCCTCATTCCTACAGTTGGTATATTCGCTTTGAGTCTCTATTTCTACTATTCACGGACTCATAAGAAAAATTATCCACCTGGACCTAAAGGTCTTCCAGTATTGGGCTGCGTGACTCAACTAGGAGAACATCCGTCAAACACATTGACGGCTTTGTCAAAGAAATACGGAAATGTTTTTTCAATTCAAATCGGAATGAACAATTATGTGATTTTAAATGACTATGAGTCAATACATGAGGTTGGTGTTTTATAATAATTTTCTTATTTGACTGTGTTTTTTGCAATGCTGAATGTAAGAAGAAATTAAATAAACTTTACTTGGAATAGCTTGTGACGAAATTCATGTCAATTTATTATTAATTAAAATAAGAAAGTTTTTCATCTGCTTTAATTTATATTATGGTATCTAAAAATTATTGAAAGATAAAGAAGGGCGTGTCTGTATCACATGAACAACTAAGTTTATTGAAACTTCAGCGTATAAATGACTTTATAGTTGCAAACTGTATCAAAAAATCAATGGTATTTTATGGTTTTCAGGCTTTACTAAAAAAGAACGACGACTTTTCCGGTCGCCCAGATGTTTTACTTTTGCGGCAGATGGGGCAAGGACATGGAATTATTTTCAGAGATCACGGACCGGAGTGGAAAAGTCAGAAAAAATTTGCTGTGGCATGCTTAAGAGAGTTAGTTACTCTTTATATTAAGAATGATCGAAAGCATAATCTCCCATAGGTGATTAGCTTCACAATCCTCCATTAATGAATACATTCATAAAGACAATAAAGATAAGTGATATCATAGACTTTTTCTAATGCTGGAATTGTTGTGTACTTATATACTCAACTTCACTGGATTCAAGTGTGAGTATTTTAACCATAAATTGGTATTGTCTTGGCACAGATTGGGGGTAGGAAAGAAACGTCTTGAAGATTTGATCTTGGCAGAAGTTAATCATCTTGCAGAGGACATAGAGTGTAGAGGCAGGAAGGCATTCAACTCACAGGTATGTGGTAAATACAAATGAGAATGTGCTTGGTTCTGTTTGCCCTGCACTGGCATTTAATTCAGCCCCATTTGCAACGACTTACTTTCTTTTCACTCGTGATTTTTGTTAGCAGATCCAGTTTCCATTGTAAACTGATCCAGGAGCAATTGCAGTAACACTTCCTGGGCCTGGGTACTTTACAAATTACTTTAAAACTAAACTGTTGCACTCATTGTTTATTTGTATTCCCATTTACCTGTCGGATATATACACACATGCTCACTTTTATATAGTAGAATAGAATATAAGCAGAAATTCTTGATACTGAATGATGTTCCTTACTAAGATTTCGATAGATCGAGATGAATTTCAGTCGATACTTTCCATGTGTCAAACTTATATTTAGGTATAGGAAATGGAAATATTTTAGCATCGCTTGACATTTTAACCTGAATCTTCCAAGATAGATACAAATGGATTTAAGATGGAAAACTTTAAACTAAGCAGGATAAGCACGCTGTAACCATAAAGAGTATGATGATTATCTTGGCTGTAACGTTACACTCGTGTGTTACACTCGATGAACCACTCAAGTGGGGTAATGATCAAATCAATGGCCATAGGTTGCGAATGATCGATATTGCTTATTGTGTAATTCTGCATGAAGGTTAAATTAAACATTTCCCTAGGGTAAATTATACATTTATTTATAGAAACCGCGAAGCCGATTTGGGAATAAAAGGTAAATATCTAATATTCCGACATGAACTTGTATGCTTCGAAAAGAAATTAATACCCAAACTCATAAGCTCTGACACAATTAGTTATGATATGGAATTGATTATGACGTCAATAAATTGCTACAAAATAATAAATTTCCATTCACAGAAATTGTTTGTAAAAGCAACCGGAAACATAGTATGTGAATTATTGCTGGGATCGCGAATGCCTTATAATAACGAAACGTATTGTAGACTTGTTGACTGCCTCGATACAACGTAAGTCAGACTAGAAATTTTAATGGTTGGTTAACCTCATTTTACATTTTGTCGCACTTCAATTAGGGTTACCCGACCCGACCCTTCATTTACCCGACTAACCACAATATAGCATGAAATGAAATATTTGAAATAGAAGTTTGAGGAAATAATTATTATGCAGATAAATCCTTTTATGTAATAGAGAAAAGCTAAAATGTTTCAGAATGCCCAATTATTTATATCTGGCTATTTTGTTTATATTTTTCTCGATTGTATCTGAGTTCTTATTAGTTTAATAACAACCTAGTGTAAAGTAATACTAGCACTGCCATCATACTAAATACCATGTACAGATTTTTCAAGAAGACAACGACGCCTTCCGTGCTTGCCTTGATTGTTGCTCCAATAGTCAGATTCTTGCCTGGATTTCGCGACGTTTATGGCTCATTCTGCAAAGATCTTGACAAAACTTTTGGTATGACGAATGATTTTATTAAATTTTAGGAAACTAATTATCTTTGTACTAGATATTCAAATATAATATTATTTGTATTAAGTTTAGATTTTGTCATCACACATTGTATAACGTTGTTCATTGGGTTGTTATTCTGGTGGGACTCTTGCTTGTGCTTGTGTTCAGTATGAATTAACCAAGAAGTTGTCGGTTGAAAATGATCACCTCATCTGATTATTTATCTCGAAGCCTGTTTCGGGCTTTTTATAAAAAACATGTTAGGTCTGAGTGAGAAATGAGTGAGCGTGTATACAACCCTTTTGCACAAAATATTATATTTTAAATATTTAATGCAACGTTGATAATCATAAGAGTAAGGAAGCTACACAGAAAAATTTCGTAATGCGTCAAAGTCACCAATAATCGAGAAGTTGTACTAAATTAGTGTAAACATCGTAATCTAATGCCGTTCACGAGTGGTTTTAAGTGTGATTGATAAGCGAGAAACGTGATCAATTTCGTCAAGGACTGCGTGATAAGACTGAAGGGAAACGGATAAGTAGTGGATTTGCGCAAATGTTAACATGAATGAGAAAGTTTGCAGTTTTACTGACAATAGTGTTTGGATTTCGAGTGACCCTTCTAACCCGCGTTAGGTTGTGTACACCACGTGTAACCGGATAATATACTTCTCCAACAGAGGTCATGGCACTTAGTAAGCGGCTCTTGTTCATAAGAGCACTGTAACGTTTGTTATTTACCGGCCACAAAGCACATGTCATTTGTACAAACAAACTACTCATATATATTGTATTTTTAGAAATTCTTCACGAATTACTGGAAAACCACAAAAATAACTTCGATGATGCAGACATACGCGACTTTGTCGATACATTTCTGAACCAAATGAAATCAAAATCCAACAAGGACCCAGTATTCAAGGTAGCATGAAGGATGAATATGATTTTTGAAAGGATTTATGATAAGAAGATGCTTGTCGATTTCAGCCATCTTGATTTTAAGCTAAACAAATACACTGGTGTACGGCAACAATGTTCAATTGTCGTATTAAAATAGTCTAATAATTTCGGCAAACACTCCATTTGAAATAAAGCAGTAGTCATCTCATTGCTGTTGGCTAATAGCATTATCAATTTTCAATTAATAAAGTACAAATGATACTGTAAACAGAATTGAAGCATTGCTATGTGTGGAAAAGCTTAAAGCATCAATGGATCGTTGTTGCCTTTATATCATGGATGTATAAGTTAGCGATTCGGCAATTAAAATTCGAGCATAGTGTATAGTGTATACAGTATTTTGTTAGTATGTTTCGCGAAAACGTAAACTTCCGGCTGTTAACAGCAAAATCCCGGTTTTAAAATACACGTGTATAAATTATAAACACCTGGAGCTATAATATTGCATAGACGTCGAGCGTGACTAAAATGTAAAAAATCCAGCTAATCCCTTGATAACGTAACACCCCGTAACTTTTTCTTCAGTGCGCCCACGTAGAGATTGAGTATACGCTAATAGTTGTTTTGATATATGCAGTACATCCAAAATAGATTTCACGCGTCACTAATCAACCGTGCTTCTTCGTTATTTTTCTATTTTTGTAGTAAATTGTTATTAACTTGCAACAGATGATCGATAACCACGGATCACTTTAGAGTTAAGAGCAGTAATGCAAGCTCGGTATCATCATGATAATTTTTGTTGTGTGAAATAGTTTCAGCCACACTAATACACACACTACACTGTTGCAATTTTATTTGTTTAACGACATAACACTATAAAAAAAAGCTTGATTAGAATTTACAACGATTATATTCATTTAATTCATATTTTTGCCATTTTTAGCCCATTGAAAATCTTAATATATATACTTGTCTTCTTTACAGGAATTACAGATATTCCAATTGATGAGAGAATTATTTGTTGCGGGTAGCGTGAACATCAGCGTTATGCTGCGATGGAGCATTTTATGTTTCGCAAATCACCCTGAACACCAGGAAAAAATTAAGCGGGAAGTTGATGAAGTGATTGGTATGTTGTGAATAAAATTAATATTGTAAGCTCGAACAATGCTGGTAGCTTGTGGTGAATTATTTTGTTATTAGAAATACATTTTGTTTGCGTGTTCCCTCATATTCAGTAAGTTTAAGCTAAGACTTATATGTAACCGACCAACAGTTGTTATGATACCTTAGTTTACGACCACTTGTGTGATCGATGGCTTATCGCCCTGGTTGAGCAAACAACTATTTCGGAATATGTTGTAAAAAATTTGGGAATCAACTACTCCAAACATATTGAATAACTCTAGTCTAAATTTGGTGCATGCGGGCATCCGAACATTTAGATCTCTGATTCTATGTTCATGCGCAAACATTTTTTAATATTCACATGGAAATACATATTTACGAATAATTTTTATGTATTTATGCAGGTGAAGGAGTGCCCTCTATGAAACATCGAGAAGATATGCCTTATACATGCGCATTCCTGCAGGAAATATTGCGACACCGTACTCTTGTACCTCTCAGCATGCCTCATAAAACTACAAATGATACTTCCTTCGGAGGATATGAAATTCCGAAAGATACTCCGGTGAGTGTGTCAGGCGCCCCAATACAATTCACACGGCTTATGAGATGTGAACATCTCATGTTTCACCACAAAAATAAATAAATAAATTGATTGAAATCAAATTTATATAAAAAATAAAAAAATATTTACACGTTTCATTCAGAACATAATGAAAATAAAACAACGTTTCACTGAATTCTATTCGCGAACTTTTAAACCTCATTGTCATTGTTTGCCAATATTGATCTCAGCCCACACAAACATCTGCATAGAGTAGAATTTAATCCGTGGGTGTTATGGTCGAGTTGTACGCTCAAAATTCACCCCAAATCTTTTCGCGGTAGGATTAAAATCCGATAAAAGAACATCAATCATCCTGATATCCTCTACCCTTCATCAAAGGCGCCTTCCGCCACAATGCTGTGTATGATTTCTTTTAAATGCATTTGGTTAGATGACAGAAGCCAACTCCAGCACGGCCATCCATCTGTAAACTTCTTTTTATTTCAGGTGTTGACCAACTTATGGGCCGTGCAGCACGACCCAGAACATTTTGCAGATCCCGAGGAATTTCGACCAGATAGGTTTTTAGACGAGGATGGTAAATTCGTGCAAGACTCTCACGTAATTCCATTCTCTTTCGGTCCCCGATATTGCATGGGCGATCAGTTGGCTAAGATTGAGCTTTTCCTATTCTTAACGTCAATTGTTCAGAGGTTTAATGTAATTGCCGACAGCAAGCACCATCTGCCCTCTCTAAATGACGGTGTGTTTGGGGTCGTGTACGTGCCCCCAGACTTTGAAGTGAGATTTGAAAGCCGCTAATTATCGGATTCTTTCTAGTATTAAACTGGCTAACCAAGCAACAACGGAATTTATATTCTAAAGTCCAAATATGAGGCGTGTAGTTGGAATATTTTTACACTAAAACAAATTCTATAATATTTTCTAATATTTGTGAAAGTAACTGTAAATACCATTTTATGTTTGTTATTGGAAATATTAGAACTTCAAAGCCTGACTCTCCCTGATAAACCTTTTATGTTTTGTTGCAGTAATGTGTTCTTAGTTTGTGAAGTTCTGTGGCCGCATAGACTCCAAATGCTCATAGAAAGACTCCCTTTTTGTAGGTGCCAAAATCTGGATTTCACAATATTTAAAACTTGGGTAACTGCGAAAGTATGTGATATAGCCCGCAACTAATGTTTTTCATAATTTGTCACAATAAAATCTATAATTCATCAGCAAAAAAAATTGAGATAAGTTTGCTATGCTTTTTTAAAAAGCTGCATAATATTTTCGTTTTGCAATTTCAAAATTGAATCAAGGAAAATTGAATGAAAAGGTACCAACAGTGATTTTACGCACTATCAAGTTCGATTCTGATTCAATATATATACTGAGAGCCAAATTACATAAAGATATTGTAGTATTTTTGATTTCATTACTATATTTTGCTTTTATTTTTGTATTGTTATTGAAACCTCATAAAATAATATGAACTATCCATGATATTATTGTTCATTTGTACTTTGTGTAGCACTTTGTTCCTTCGAAACGGGTGAGCATATAGTTACGTTGTTTACTTTTGAATAATTGAATAAAATTACTCATTATATTTTAACATGTTGATAAACTTGAATAAATCCAAAATATGCCTTGTTTATGTATAGGTTATGGGCGAGTTTGATAAATACTCGCATTCGCAAACAGATCTTGACTGTTAGTGTAGATAACTGTTGCGTTTTAGGATAGGTAGGATATAGAAATATGAATAATATAGAATATTGTTGTTCGCGGGTATTTTATAATCAAATTGTTTTCACAATGTCTATCGATTGTTTAAATCGACGTCCTTAAATACCACATTTCGGCCCAAGTTGAAAAATATATTGAAAACGTACAATTTTTTTCAAATCCTATTTTTCAATCGTTTGCTAGCCATACCTCCAAGTTCACCTACATAAAATGTCCTGTATCCTACTAACTTGACAAGTTCTGTAGAAAACATTTCATATTCAGTGTATTGTCCAGATTCTCTTAGACCAGAAATTATATTTATATTCATTTCCGTCCGGCCGTACCGATACGGTGATTTTACCAACCGGCCAATGCGATTTTTGATCTGGTTCTCTGATTGTTCCAGTCTGGTTTGTTGTTTTAGTTCACCACTTCGAATTTTGATCTCCATCCCTGAAATAGACTTTTTATCGATAGCTTTTATAATGATAAATCTCGTTTGATGGTTATCATCGTTTTTATTCGATGTTTTTCGAAAAACTTTGTGGTTTCGAATGCAGCCTTTTTTTTTTCTGTGATTTTTCAAAAATATTCAAATCAGCTGGTTTCAATTGATTGATATGATTACAAAAAAATGGTACGTTTCAAGTGTGAGACATAGCCATATGGGTCGTAATTAACCCCAATACTTAAGCGTTTCATCATTTTGCTTGGAAGTCGTAATGTACTTACATCTAGGGACCACATAATTGTCCGAGTAATGCTAATCCGTGTCTAGAGGTGACAAAGAAAAGCTATGGGATAGATAGATACCAAAAATGCCATAAATTGACACTAATTTCTACTTTAAAAGAATAGAAATTATTACTACGTAATTTTTTCGACACCAAAGTCTGTGTAAAAAGTATCAAGCAGGTAATTTCTAACTATATTTATTTGGATTGTACATACCTATTTTGCATGAGTTGCGATGGGCGATAGTTGTGACCCTGCATGTATATAAATTCTATTTTTTGAAGCTTAATATATACAAGATTTATTAACCCATTTGTTAATATCAGAAAGCAGGCTTGGCCAATACATTTTTCTGAAATAATTTTCTTGCTCTGGAAACCGCAGTAGGACGAAATGAATGCGTTATTTGGTATACGATCTCATGTATGCTTTCAGGTACCAGTCGACTTGCTTGTTTATAACGTTTTAAAAGATCGCAGAACATCGTCACTTCGATGTAAAAGGTTAGACGTATATTTCGTCGTAAACATTTTGCTTTACTTATTTGGGTTACTTCGCTTAGATTTTTATATTAAAATCAACGTTTATTATTAGTGAAATGCAGAGATTAATATTTATTTGTATAGTTTATGAACTTTCCTGGCGTTTACCATATTTTAGTTACCGCGGAGTAATTTTTCCTTGTAGTTTATTAATCCTCTATTTGACAGTTATAATCACATAGTGGAATAATATTAAAGACTGTCAAGCGAACGTAAGCAGACTGTATATATTTGAATACCTTTACCACTGAAAATCAATGAGCTCGTTTGTCCTGCATACATGCTATGTATATGTAGTAACAATCAAGCGTTATTTATATGGAAACAAGTTGGATCGCTCATTGCTATTGCAGGTATCGATCGGTGCAAAATACATCTGGTTAGTAGGGATACGCATCAATGAATACGAACAGATCAAAATCAATGCTGAATAATATGACCATGCACAATAAACAGTTTTGTGTGCAAGGTGGTGGACCGAAGATTATTAGCACAATAAATTAAAGCAGAACGCAGTACCGTTATGTATTCTGCAAATGTCACGTGATAACTTTTCAGAATATGACAAAACAAGCATACAGGCATTAAAAAGCAAAATAGAATTTATTAATATTAATTTACAACGAGTTGGGGGTAAGAATTTACCGACGATAAATGTGAAAAAAGGATTTTTCTTGCCTTTTTGCGTCATATTTTTCAATTCCTAATTTTGCATGAAGCGTGTCAACACCGTTTTTGTAAATTTCGAAACGTCAAACCAGATAAGTAATACAGGTAAATAATTTTATGGACATTTTTCGAGACATTGGGGAGAAATGTTATTTTGACCACGTAGTAATGGCATTATTGCCAATTTCCTCACGTGTTTGGTATCAATAAAAAAAAGTATTTTAACCCAAAAGCTGAGTTACGTGAATATTCAAGACTGAGTATTCAACAGACTGCCAATTTTCGGAATTTTTACTTATTGATCTTAAGATCGGTAAGTATGTTGATAGGTATTTGTCTGTATGTCTGTTTGTTTGTCTGTTAGATGAACGCGATATCTCAAGAAGGCGAAGTTGAATCTGCTCCAAATTTTGCATGTGCATTCATCATATCTCGGACCAGAAGCCTATTAATTATGTCGTATAATTAGCTAGTTATTAATTAATTAGTGATGGGACACGCGGTGTCACTATAAAGTCATGAATCGAAACCGTAGTTTCGATCGATAAGTATTCGGTCACCTTATTTAATACAAAAGTAACACGGACACGATCTAAAATTAAAAGCATAGAACAGCGGTTCGCAAACTATGGGTGACGACCCATACTGGCGGGTCGCAAAAGGAATCTTAGTGGGTCGTGAAAAGATGTAGAGAGCTTTGATTGGTTATTAGGATCGGTGGCGACTCGAATACGTAAATCTTCAAAAAAACAAAAGAAATTAAATTGAATTTAAATTTTATTCTGTGAAAGCTTCCCTTTTACGATCTTCTCAAAGGAACAAAAAGTTGCTACACAAAGAATGACTATGTGGATTTTTTACGCATAGCAGTTTTGTACACTGTAAAGCACTTCTTATCGTGTTTCCCAGAAATTTAGACAGGATTTAGATTTATTTTCTTTTGAAGAATAACACAATGTTTTTTCTGGAAGCGGTTGTGTTCATTTATCAAAAATAAAATTACATTGTACAAACTCACGAGATTTTTTGATAAACATTATATAAAAACCAACACCCATTGTTTTTATTTGTATTTCCTATACAAAAATCAAGTGACGACTATCATAATTGTGATTGTGACATCACACAATCTTGAATAGGGGTGTGATCTTCACCTTACCTCAGGTCATTGAACCTTTCCTCTCACACACATTTTGAATTTATTTTATGGTTAGAGTTTAATTAAAATCATTTTTAAAATTCGAATTAGGTCCTATTTTTAGGCCAGGTCTTATTCTCGAGGAAACACGATAGTTTTGCGATGATTAGCCATAGCTGTGTTCTGTGTTTTGTCATAAAAAAAATACCGTTAAATGGGTCGCCATAAGCTATGGTAATAAATAGTGGGTCGCAACTCCAAAAAGTTTGGGAACCACTAGATAGAAATTTTAACTATCCGCTTCACTATCATCGCATCCCGGGTTCAGTAATGATAAGATTGTTTGCTTAAAATTGGGACCTTAATTCAAAAACTGTGATACAAATAGATACAACCAGAACAAAATAAATTTGAGTTGTGAATACACTATTGCACTCTAATAGTTGTCTTTAACATCTTCGCCGGTGTGAACTCACAATTCTGTCCGAAATATAAAAACCAAACTACGATATCCGCCGTTGTGTAAGAATTAATCTTTGCTAGTAAAAAAAAAAAGTGATTTAATACAGTTTAAAACATTAGTTGGAATGCCGGCCGCCAAAACGATCGCGGTGACAAAAAATTTACTGAGGTCTTCGATTATGACAAAATTAAGAAATAAAAAACGCCGCACTGTTTTCAGTCTTTTAGTAAAATCCGAAAACAAAAAAATATTTATTGTCACTACCCAATTAATGTTGTTTAAAATGACAATACTCATTATTCGGTGTTCGTTAAAAATATTCGAATAACTCGATTAAGAAATACGATTTTGCCAGCCACTAATCACGGCGCATGTAAATAATCATTGAAAGGCAATAAAAAATCAACTACATAAATTTCAAGTAATAGTTTCACATTTCATGCATTTGATCGGCGCTACATGCGAGCGTATTTTTGTACATATAAACCATTATGACGCTACTGACATCTGCGAAACATAGTTCTCTCTAGAATTAATTTTCGCGATTTTTAATGTTTTATTTCTAAACGCGGGTACCCGCTGACTACGGATTAACTTGCAAAATATTCACCAATTACCGTCAAGCAAATAAAAGGGGGCTACACGTAACTGGGATAGTGTAACTTCATCGTATTTCTTCCTCAAGATATTCAACGATATTTTGAGTTTACATATTTTTCTATTATTTTTAGCTGTTATGTTATTCAGTTCCATATAGGATAGGATATGATTTACATATTTATCCCGGGGGAGAGGAAAGTCGATAAGACGGCTTATTCATATGGCGAACCACGGCCTCTCGTCCGGTTACCATTCCAAGTCGAGTATGGGATTAGTTATATTGTTTGTTTTCGGAAGCATGGACTTGGTGGTGGAGGAAGCCGTAACCGACCAGCGGTTACGTGAACCACCCAACGACGGCGAGGAGTCCAGCAATCCTCTCGCACATAACCATCCCTGCATGGGATTCGAACCTGCGAACCCACGCAGAGTAATTAGATGTGCGGTGGCGAGCGTATTCCTAACGCTTAGCACGTTGAGCCACACCGCCGCGCCACCGCTTATAGTAGGCACTAAGTTCATAAAATTATTCTTGAGATGTAGTATTGGCTTCTTCAATCTCCCTCACTTCATCTTTGAATATGCTGAAGGAGGATAGCTGGGTTTTCACTTTCCTTAGTGATTCATCTAGTGATGACAAAGACTTCTGAATGCCAACACTGGTGGGGGTGGCTGAACAGATGTCAGCGTTTCCAGGTGTTGTTCAATGATTGTTGGAATTTCAGGTTTAGGAGTTTTAAATATTGTCCTCTCAAGTACTGTAACCAAGTTTCTACCAAGATTTTACATTGGCCACTGTACAGCAGAGGTCGGCAACCTACGGCC